AAAAACAAGCATCTGTCTACCTGTGTTCTCAAAGTAGTTTGCCAGACTATTTACTAGTAACGTGCTTCAGTGTTACTGGATGTGGATTCCTGTCAAAGTGAAGGGTTATGGATGTAGCAGCCTTTTCCACTGGCACCACCTTGGGTAGTTACATGCTCCTGGCTGCTTTATGAAGCAGTGGCTGTGTCCAGCCCTTTTACATAGAACACCATATAGCTCATTTTTGTTTCTCTAAATGTAATGTAATTGGCTGTAATGTACTTTGTTTAATTATTTAAAAGTAATTACCTACCTCTGATTATGACCATGTGCCTAGTGTAACTGCCCATATCTCTGTTTCAGAGGGACACAGGAACCTTCGCATGACTAAGCAGGTACCATGCCTTCAACTTTGCAGCTAGCTTGTATTGCACAAATTTCCATTTTCTTTGGCCCTGGTTAAAATTCTGTGAGGTTTCTGCAAACTGTGAAGGCTTGGATATCTTGGCAATTATTTGTTTTATCAAAAAAGACAAATATTACAATAATCTAGCTACAATAATCAGCTGTTCATCAGTGATACATCTTTGTTACAAGTAGGCTATGTACTGACCTAGACTTACCAACATTGCATTCTCACAAGCTCTACCATCAGAGTACCTAAGCAAGTACTCTGATTTTTTTTGCATGATTTTTTTTTGCACATCATCTTTGTGCACTGCCACAAAAGTAAATTTTTTTTCAAATAAAATACACCATTGATTAGTAAAATGGATTAAAAGGACTAATGAATATGGAGTGTCACAGCATGTCATTAGAATTTCACAGTATTTCTTGTGCTTACTGTAATGCTGACCTAAGGTAAGAGCCCATCTAATTCACCTGAGATTTGGGAAGACCTTACTTGCATGTGATTTATCACACACCACACAGTCACAGACAGAAGAGAAAGTCTTGCCTTTCATTACATAGCACTCTGTGCCTGTATTGCTTACAAAGAGTTATTACTGAGGCTTTCAGAGCTATTTTACAGACATTACATTGCTTGTTTACTGTATTAAAACATAGAGCATGGACACAGACATTAAAGCTGACACTGTAACCTAGCACAGCATTATGTTATACTTATTAGCACATTCTCTAGAGACAGGAATAATACCTGCACTGCAAAAATTAAAGAGCTATTGCCTTGTAATATTTGTATATTTTCTATTTTACATATGCTGGATTTTGCTGTGAATACACAAATATTTAAAGATGATGTCTTGTCCTTGCATGTGCCTTTTAGTCAGCCTAATATTTCCATTCAAGACTGTTACTCCAGTAGCAGTTGTTGAAAGGCAGATTAAATACAGAGGTGCTAAGTAAACACTGGTGCTGAAGGCTCATCCAGATACTCATATGGTTCTAAAGGTACTAATACCAATGACCACATGAATGTTATCAAACACATAAACTTCTTTAAGAGGAACAGATATAAACAAAAGGGTTTTACCCACAGAGCCAATTCCAGTTTAAAGAACTGGTAAGTTTATGCATACTGCAAGTTTAATAAGTGGTTAGTGTATGGTAAGGAGTTCACTTTGTAGCCAAAGCTGTAGTGCACACTTTGGTGAGACTCTTGCTGTTATTCCCTCCAGTCCCATATTCTCTTACAGCACTTCAGTGAATTACTGCAGCACAAATGACTCATGAGTAACCAAGTCCAGACAGCACAAGTCCAAGGGCGTGGAGGGCTCTTCCTTAATTAACAAGAATTAACAAATTTATTAACCTAATTAGAACTTATTTGCTAAATAATAATGACAAATCTCTCCTGGTGTAAAATAAGAGACCCTGGCAAGCACACACCAAGACAGAAATGACACACCCCTGTGTTCAATACAAGCCATCAGCACCAGAACAACCATGGTTAATTATCAGCAGGTCTTACATGAAGCTTTATTAGCTAGCTCACACTGAAGTTTAAGGGCAGAATTATGGAAAACAGACTGCATGTCCCATTTCCATCTTGGAAATGCAGATTAATGCCTCTGAATTAAGTTAGTCCAGCCAATGTTCCTCCCTATCCTCCCATGGAAGTCTGAACTTTAGACTTAAATAGCTGCTTCAGAAAGGGCACTGGCTTAGTCTTTTGCAAGGACAAGACGAGCCTTTAAATATTTAGGCATGATTGCTGTATCCAAAAGTGCAGTATCAGATCTATTTAACACCAAATTAGTATTTTTGGCACAATATCCAGTGATCATGAATTTATTTTATTGCATATATCTGTGGTCTCAAGCCTTTACAAAGGTTTGCTTAATGAGGGGCAAGTGAGAGGCCATGTCACAAAACAAATGCTTTACAGCACATTAGCAATGGAGGCCATGGGACAAACCCATCATCTGTCTCACTTGCTCACACCTCCCCAAAAATTAACCTTGAGGACCAAAGTGTCCCTGCCTTGGGATGTGCCTATGAAATATATGGGGATGGGAGGGAGATGGGAGAGGAAAAGGGGAGAAAGTGGGAAAAGCATTTCCTGTAGGACACTTGCACTGCTAAGCACCATTCCCTGGGTTACAACAGTTCCAAAGCAATGACTGTTTCCTCCCTCTGCTGGGCAAGAGATTGGAGTTACAGAGAACCTGGGTGTCACACCTGCCACAGCACCTGTGGGGCTCTGGCCAGGGCAGCCTGTGCACTGTGGGCTCAGAAATGCCTGCTGCCATCCACAGCACTGCCCCAGGCCCTGCAGGAACTGCTGGGCAGGAATTCTCTACAAATTGCTCTGTCTGCTTGCTCCTCCAGAGGAACAGGAGGGACACACCTCTGCTGTGGTGTATGAGCAGTCCCTTTCTCCACTCCTTTCAAGCACCTTCAGTTGCAGTTCCCATAGAGGAAAACAATGAAATGAGGGCAAGAGTGGGGGTGATCTGGGGCTGATGAGACTGTTTAGAGTAGGACAAGGACTCAAGCACAAGAACAGGAAACCCATCCCATTTCCAAGCAATTGGGAATCTCAGCCTGTTCACAAATTACTATCACAAGTTACAGAACAGAAAGTGGAATTAGAGGCCCACAGCTCTTGGCTTTTCTGCATTTAGAACCATCAGCCCCAGAGGTCCTGTTACAAAATTCTACTTATTTGTGAGGATTCCAAATTACCTAGCACCTGATTTTCTTTTTTCTGTTTGTTCCCCTCTTACTGCAGGAGGGGAAATGAGCCAACATCTTTTGCCCCACCCCGTAGATCTGGAGGCAGAAGAGTAATTGAGAATGCAACAGATGGAGTTGATGACGAAATGGATGCAAGAGATGGAGATTTCAATGGAACAAAAGCCAGTGAATAAACACGCTTCAAAAACTGCACTGCAGCAAGGGAAGGGAGGGAGGACGATATTTAGCACTGTATAAGTCTGCTCTTAGTGTCAAGGTCACATACACCCACTCCTCTGACAGATAAAAGCACAACTGCCTTGTCTCCAATGTATAGATTGACACTAAAAGTACTCCAAAATTTTTTGTACCATGAAGCGTATTTGAAAAGGTGGGGATTTTTAACAGAGTAATTCACCTCGAGAATCTTGCAGAAAGTGAGTTCTAGTAGCTCAAATGATTAAAATCCCCGTAAACTATAGTCTACAGAGGATTTGTGAGATTGTTGCAGGGGAAAAAAAGGCATTGGTCAGTTAATCTTTTCTTAAACTTTCATTTTTATTTGAGTATTCAATTAATATAAGGTTTTCTCCTGGTTACTACACCCCGATGCACAATTCACAAGGTGGAAGTGCCTTTTTAATCACTTACTGAAAAATATCATTTGTTCAAATTAAGTCAACTGTTAGTTTTATATGCACCATGGATGTGCTTACACACTAATAAAAGGCTATAAAAATGACTCCACTATTCCTGTGTACAGGTTTCCCTTGAAGGAAAGGGGGGATGAAGCAGAGCTTCTCTAAAACTGAAATACTTCTTACAAAAGTTCATGTGTAATCATTAGAACAAAACCCTGATTTTCTTCAAAGTAATGCTTTTGAAAAAATACAAAAAAGTTTGTACACCAAGTTGGATGTAAAACAGCATAACCACAGGGAACAGGTTTGATTCCATCAGGGACACACAGTGCTGAGCTGCCCTGGGATGCATCCAAGGGCTGGCAGGCACAGGACCTGCAGAGACTTGCAGCACTCAGGTGCAGGAGCTGGAAAGCAGAGGGGGCCCTACCTGTCTGTCTGTGGGCAATGAACCCGGCCTTTGATGTCTGGAGCAGGCTGAAACCATTAGGAACAGCAGCCCAAACAGAATGCAGGGATCCAAGCCAAGCTACTCTGCACTAAGGGATCAGCATGCAGTTACTTTTTATTTTTGGAGCACTCCAGCACTCCACAACCTGCTCTTGGGAGCTGCCACTTGCTCCTGGTAGTGCAAGTGTGAACCCTTGCAGCCCAAGCACTTTCAGAAAGCAGCAGCTCTGTGGTCACACCGGGGCAGCAGGGAGCCATGCACAGCAAAACAGGATGTAAAATCACTCTAAATCAAGTGCAAAGAGCTTACTTGGTGCCTTTGATTGAACAGCAAGTGAACCTTAAGCAGTGTGACAACATGGAGAGCAAATCACGCACAAGTGTCCACCTTGACAGCTAAAGCAATCATCTAAATCTCTTCTAAAGCAGAGATCACGGACTGGGGATTCAGACTTGGCACCATTCAGCCAGCAGAACCAGAGCCCAGAGAATTCTCTCTGCTCATGAAAGAGTAAAGGAAGAATCTGTTTAGAGCAATTAGGATGACAAGCTGAGCAGAGAGGGTTTAGGAGTTACGGGATAAGATTTCATCAGGCACAGAGCCGTAAAGATGCTCAAGAGCTGGCTGTAAACACAGTTTGTGAGCCTGCATGTGTGGGAACAAGAAGACAAGCAAGTCAGACTTCATATTAAATGGTCTTAAGTACCAATGCTTGGAGCAGAACCAGCAAATTGAACATGTATAAACCAAAGCAATAACTTGCCAAAAAACTCAAAATGCTTCAACAATTCACATTCAAAATAAGCTTTATTCTGTTTCCCAGTTAAACCAACTTTGTAGGTGGACCGAGAAATAGAAATGATCTGTGGTTTACATATTCTAGAGAAATAGGTGCCTTAGCGGCTGTTTGCACAGCATTTCCTAAAAAAAAAAACCCACAAACAAACAAACAAAAAAACCCACCCAAAACCATCAAATCCATTTATGCATTCTTTTGTCAAGGAAGCTCTCCCCATCCCCTGTCACAAAAAAAAAAAAACAAACATAAAAATTGTTTAGTCATAATTCATTTTGCAAGTACAGGCTTCCATAAAATACATTAACACTGGGAATGAATCTCGTCCATTTAAAAAACAAATACAGTAATATTCTATATGGGAGAATATTATTTTAAAAAAACATTCTTTACTCATATAGACTTCTCTAGCATAAAGGGCTTTTCAGGTTAAAAAAGCATTTCTAAATTAGTAACAGCTGATATATTCATATAGAAAAATAAAAATATAAAAAATCACTAACACCCAAGGCACCTTAGTGAAGGGAGGTTCGTAAAGCAGTAAAACCCACCTATCAAGATGTTAGAACTAGAAACTTGATCAAGTTTGCCCTCCTACAACCACCATAAAAAGGAAAAAAGTCTACATTCTATTAGCTCTGGGATCTCCTGAGCACTCTCAGCACTAGACATGTCTCACCTTTAACCATGACCTGTTCTGAATGAGAAATCATTGCCTACAAAAACATCTTGCCACTACAGAGGCAGGTTATTGTGCAGCAACATTCTGATCAGCAAACACCCCATGAGGAGCTGAGAGGCTCCCCTGCAGAAATACACCTTTCTCTTTAATCTGGGTGACTGCAGCACACAACACCCGTGGTAGAAAGCAGAATTCCACCCAGATCTGGTGGTGTATTAACACCAAAAGCCAAAGCCTGAGAAGCTGCATAGTGAATATTGCTGTCTTGTAGGCAGGGGGACTATGGCTTTGGTAGTGTCAAAAGAAGCAACCTTCAAAGAGCTATTTACAGTAGCTGATGCAGGAAGCAATTCCCAGTCCTGCACGCCACAGTCAGCATTGCTTTGTCACACCTTGTCACCCACAGAACTTGCCCAGAGGCCCCACCTGAAGCCACTGCCAATTGTTCAGTTCTCACCTACCCTGACACTGCTGTCTGCTTGCTCATTGATATTCTCTTTAAAACTAAACTTTGAAATACACATTTCTCCTTTCCCAAAGCCAGCCAAGCTTTTCACAGCAGCATCTTGACAACACTTTGTGAGGGATGGCTCACGGGTCCTGGGACGTGTGAAGGCCGTGTTCCAAACTCCAGGCGTTTCACCAACCTGCAAATGCAAGACTGAAGTCAGGGCATTTCTCACTCAGTGTAACCATGCTCAGGATAACTGCTCACTCCCAGAACAAACCACCCAGCTGAGATGAGAGAACAGCACTCTGAGCACTGCAGGAACCCATTCTTTAACTGGGCTGAGTTTTCACTGTAACACAGGGCTCCATTTCTCTCTGAGTAATGAACACTATCTTTTACAGCTGTTGGAATTTCACTTTAGCATTGCAGCAGTAGACAGATAATCAGCTCATGCATATGTAAATGTATGAGAAAGCCCTGAGGCTTTCTTGCAGGAGCTTTCATAAGGTTTCTCTCCAGGTTAGGAGAGCAAGTACAATGTGGAACATTCCTTCTAAACAACACCACTGCGCACTGGGTACCAGGACAAACCAGCACAAGGGTCTGCCTAAATAATTAAGTCTGAAACAGAGTGTACTATAGGCACTTATATTACACAGAACCTAAAGAATGTGCAGTCCAGGATTGGCAGAGTTTAAGCAGACACTGAATGGAAATTTGTAATAACCTCAATGATTTTTCTTCATTTGATTAAAAAAAGAGAAATGTGTACATTAAGGAAGGTAACTTCCTGTCAGCTGCTACTTAAAAACACATCTTAGCAACTCAGCATTCTCAGTGGACCCCACTATTCACCTTTTTTCCAGTTCTCCCATAAGTAAGAATCTTAACTATGCTAAGGGAAGTCTCCCTACATGCCATAACATTCCTGAGACATCACTTGTACAAGAACATAAAGCATAAAACAAATTGAACCAATAAGCAAGAACTGTTATGCTTTCTCCCAATTAAACACTGATTTATAATAAAACAATCTTGCACATGCTTCAGATTTGAGGTATTCAAAACTTGATTGCAGCTAGTCTTCGAATTTCTGCAGCTAATGACTCCAAATTTTAAACTGACCTGAACCATTCACATCATAATCCTGAATACCTGAATTTCACATACTTTGAAAACAAATCTGTCTCTACCAACAAAAAGACTTTTATGCTAAATATCAGTCCCTAAGTTCCAACACCAACAGCTGTCACTGAGACACCAGCAGAGCCCAGCACTCACCCTGTATCACACAGAGGCTGATGAGGACTCAGCCGTGTTTCCAGGACATCTCTGTTCATGTACATGGACACTGCAGGTCTGTTTGGAGACTGGTCATACACAAAGTTTCGGCAAGAGGCAAGCTTGGACTCCAAAGCCTGAAGTGAACAGACAAGACAAGACAATCAGATTGACTGTTCTCTTTCCCAAGATGGCATCAGGGCACACCAAAATGGCACTGAAGTGTGCGGGTTTGGGGTATTTTTCTTTCTTTAAGAGTGAGCTGACCAGTAGAGGAACCTGCTAGTGCCACATGAGTTCTGAATTTGTGAAGATATGAAGATAGCCATCTCTCTACAGATGAATCTCTGTTTCTCTAGGGAGCTGATGCTCTTCACCAGCAGGAACACAAAATCTTCACTTTCCTCAGGGAGATCTTTACATCTTTCTTACAGGCATAAATTTCTAGATTACTAAATATTCATATGAGCTATCAGCTTCCCTAGACATGTATTAGATGGTACATCAGAGAGAATGAGCCACAGATATCTTATTCTTCATCACATGCTCCCATTCTAGATCACTCCACCTTTATTGAGTTGTTTTCTGGCTGCATCAGTTCTGCAGCTCAGCCCATCAAAGCCTCATACAAATGTTTGTAACAACACAGCACCAAGGCATAAGGAATGTAACACAAGTCATGGGATAACTTTCCCAGCATCAGCACTACCTTAAATATCAAACTACAGCTTAGCAGGACATTGCTCAAAATACCACTGGACTCTTAAGGCAAAGTTCACCAGAAGCCTTTTGGACAGCAAATACCACCCTGCTAAATTCTCTGCCTTTCATGGGAACAGATCCCTTCTGAATTTACTCATGCTGACTTACTTTTTATGCACATGCACTTCCAGAAATTCATAGAGGGAGATCTTATCCCCATCTTATCCCCATTAGAAAAACAAGCAAGATCCGTTTTCATTTGGGGGTTGGTCAAAAAAGTTTGAAGTCCAGACCAACCCGAAGGCCACACTTAGCTAACCTGGGGGTAAGAGACTCTTTTGAGTCTCCTCTGAACAGCAGTGCTGGCTGCAGTTTCCAAGAGCTCCAGCGTTCCAAAAGCTTTGCCTGGCAGGTAATCACTCACCCCCACTTTTCGCAGCAAATCTCCCACAATATTAAGTGCAGATATTCTTGCAGCTGGTGTGAGAGGGGTTGCACCATAACTGTCCTCAAGACCTGCAGGGCAGGTTAAAGAAGGATGTTACTCATGGAAAGAAAAAAAAAATAAAATTGACCCTACTGTCTTAGATAAGATGATTCAAGGAACAGGATTAAAGATCACACAGGTTTTTTAAATCTTTCCCCTAAATTAGACCAACATCTCTGGGACAGTTGTGAAATAATAAAAAGTCCCAACCACTCATTTTATCCCTCATTATCAGCAGACAGTTCAAGTCAATTGGAAATGATCAGACTACTAATAAATCCAAAAAAAGTCACAGTCTGTGAATATGGAGACCATGCTGATTTGATTTGGGTGACACTACACTACACACTAGGTTCTGTGGCTAAAGGAGGAATGAAAAGAAGGGAGCAAACTACAGCAAAACCAAGAGGATCAAATGGTATTTGTGAGCTGTCAGACCCTGCCAGTCACCTCTCCTAAACGTCCCAGGGGTGGGAATGCTGATGGGTGTCCGGCGCATTGCAGGTGTTGAGGGCACAGATAGGGAGGCCTGAACTGCAGTGTCTGTTCTTTCTCCTTCCAGGGGAGCTCTCATTGGTGTTTTGGGTTTCTCCTGTTTCTGCTGCACTGCAAGCTCTTGTCGTAGATCTATGAAGGAAACAACACAAAGCAAGTGCTGGAGTATGCAGACACCAAGTAAGAACCAAAAAGGGTAATCTTTTGTCAAAAGATTTTTCTCCTCATAGAGGCGAGGTAAAATCACTTATCTTTGTAAAAGATTACTCCAGGCATATCTTTAAGTTAAGTTATCTCCAGATAACTAAAGGTCTTTCTAGGATTGTGGCTCAAAATGTTTTAGCAGTGTTAGTTCAGTTGCTGTTACCTGGCTTTAATTTTCAAACCCTTTCAGGAAGCTCCCCTTCAGACAGGGAATTAACTCCTTGCCAAATGTTACAGGCTGGTAAGCAAACGCACATCAAGTCTGAGGCCTGGCAACTTGGCACACCTTGGCTACATTCTGGCTCCCTGCAAGGTTGAGATCCTACCTGTTGTACCCTTTTCTACCCTGATGTCCACATGAAGGAAACTTGAGCTGAGGCCAGGTGGAAGCCACATCATTACCTACCAAGGGATAGAGCACTTCTGTCCTACAGCCTGGCTGTAGCTTATGGATGCCACTCAGGGGCACAGAATCCAAGATCTAAACACAGCTGTTTATCCAGCTCCGGGGTCTCTCTCTTCTCACCCAGCCTTGTCAACAGATAGCAAAAAGCCAGAGCATTCCAAGACAGCCAAAAGCCAGTCACAGTCCTCCTGTTTTACTTCCCCATTAGTGCTTCATTGGCTCCATTTCCCACAGCCCAGGAAACAATGAGGTTAGTGTGTATTAAAGCTGACCTTCATGGGAAGCCACACCAGCACAGGCCCCAGCTGGACTGGCTGAGCTCCCTGAAGCTCTGATTAGGAGAAGGCTGGAACAGACTTCTGTTTCTGTGAGAGCTCTGGAATAATGTCATGAGTTCAAGGAGGGGACAGAACATTCTTAAGTTTCCTTACTTGTTTCTATATTTCAGATACCAAGCTTTAAAGAAGCAATGTTAAAAGCCCAGCTCTAAGGCATATGGAGAGGACCAAACAGCTACAAGGCAGCAGAAGAGAAAGGAAAAGATACAAATAACTTCTAACCTCTAGCTTCATCTTTCAGGCGCTGCACAGACTCCAGAAGGTTTTCTTTCTCATCCAGCTCACTCTCCAGAAAAGCATTTCTTTCAATAGCCTGGTTTAAACGCTGTTCAAAATCCTCCAGGGACATGATAGTGGCTCTGAAAAAGAGTGCACTACGTGTCACCACCAGATCCTTCAAGCACATGGAGAATTCTCTCTCACAAGAAAATGGACACTTGCATTTTTGTTTGGTTTGCTTTGTTTTATTAACATTTTTTTTTAGCTTGAAATATATGAAAGAACGCAGCCAGGGGAGTGGGAAAGGTAAAAAAAAATTATCACATTGCCCATCTGCAACCAATCTCTTCAACACAATCATCAAACAAGTGATAATTCAGAATGGCAATGCTAACAAACAGTGTCACAAACAGCTCAGTGCCACCACGCTTGCAGGACAGAATAGAGGTGAAAAAAAAAAAAAAACCACGAAAAGCAGATCACCTTTTTGCTCTTTCCAAATCATCATTTTCTTGCTCGAGTTCTCTAATGTATTTCTGAAGCTGCTCTTTAATAGCTCGTGTCTGTGCCAAGTCATCTTCCAGCGCAGAGATCTGCCTGTATCCTTCTGAATGTTGCATTTCAATCTTTTCCTACTCAAAGGCAAATCAAACAGCACATCAGGTACTTAGCAACACATGCTCTCTTTTTGCAGCATTGTCTGAGCCCCTTGAAAGGCACAGAGAGATGCTCTGAAGATTTTTGAGAAACATCATTTTACGTATGGTAAAACACCAACAAATTCAATTGTTGAACACAATTTTGAACACAGAAATGCGTTCAAATTCAACACATTTCTGGGCTGCCAGCAGACAAGAGCTCTTCCTGTCACTCCTTATCAAACAAAAGTACTGGGGAACAGTTCCCAACACTCACAGCACAGGGCCATTCCTTGCCTCTCCCAGACAGCCTGACTCAGCACAGTTTCTTAGCAATACACAAAGCACGCAAGAGAAGACACTTATTTTCAACCCTAATACGAAGTCAGGCAATATTTAGGAGCCAAAGTAAGAAGAATAAAAAAAAAATTCCAAGTGTGACCCTGTTACATGCTGCTGTGGAATCAGCAAGATTCTGCTCTGCCCATGTGGCTTTATTAGCCCAAAGCAGGTTCAGAATTCTAGAACATTTCAGGTACAGGCACACTTTTTTTGGGTACCCTCTAAACCAAACCCTGTCTCTCTCTACACCACGTATACAAGGGTACATTTAAAACAGGCATAGGCAGGGAAGAAGACTCAGCTTCCACATCAGATCTCTCCTGCACTGCCACTAAATGTGGATTAAGTTCCACAGTATGTGACATAGGAAAGCTTTCCTATGTGACAGGGAAAGCTCCAGAACACACTATTACAGTGCCTTATACTCAACCACCTTGCTGTCAGACCACTTCAACATGCCAGATGTTTTTTGGAAACTTCAAGATTGCTGTGTAAGCAACATTCCTGAAGTACTCTCCAGACAGAATTCAAGTACAAAACACTTGAAGTCACTGGAAACAAATCCATGCAGTGGAATTTGAAAACCATGGCAAGTAGTTTAGTGTGGATGATAATGTGAAGACAGCTATTTTAGCACATGAAATGCATAGACAAGGAGGAGGTAAAGAGATATCTACCCTGAACTAAGAAAGCCTTATTTGACTGCAGTGTGGTGACACTGCTGTAATTCCAAACCTCTGAAACACAGATAAAAGCTTCTAAGCTCCAAGAGGCATATTACTTTCAATTAGTTTCTCAGGACTCTCTAAACTAACCTTCCAAAGCACCATTCCTATCAGTTCTTAGGTTGTGTGAGCTCTGATTTCTGAGAGGGAGCAGGCACACACACTGGGCTGGTCAGCTCAGAGCCACAAGCTGTGTGGGCCTGGCAAAGTTCACTGGCGCTGACCTAGATGCAGATCCCAACCCTTGATGGGCTCAGTTAACACTGCTGCTCAATAGCTTCACGAGATTAATGCTTTGCTCTTGAATTGATTCAGATAAAAGACCAGAACTGCAAGGTCTGAGTCTTTGTTTTTAGCCAATTGTAATAAACTATCAGCTGATCTGGCCCTCAATGGTGGCTCTGTTCCTTCGCTGCAGGCTGTTACTGCAGTTTGCAAGCTGCATGAATAGCCAATTGTTGAATGGTTTATTTCAAGCAGAATATATTTTAAGAAAGTTATCTACTGTGAAGAATCATTTCAGATTTTCTAAAATATGGCTACCCTCCACTTTTTGAGGTTCTGTATTGCTTCCTACTATTTTCCTTCCTCACTGTTTTGCCTGGTTCACTGGCCTTTCCTCTCATCCCAGCTACTCTAGAGAAAGAAAATCATCTACACATTCCTCAATTAAATGAACTATGGGTTTTATTTTTAAAATTTTTGTCTTCTCCCCAAGCCCATCAGCTTCCATGGGTTTATGTGACTACCTGGAACAGCAGATCAATACTCTATACAACATGCACAACACCTAATATTTCTAAGGTCCTACAACAAGAACAAGGATTAAAGCAACATAAATACAATGAAACAAGTCTTGAAGGTCTTGCTATCAAAAAGCAGGGAGTGGAGGAAAAGGCTAAGCTAGTGCTAGAGTGATAGGACACATGCCTGGAACAGGAGAGTATTTCCTTAAGACAGTAATTTGGACAACTGTTTAAACAAAAGGCATTGCAAATCTGGATTCATCCAGTGATTAATCACTTATACAAATACCTTCACTCCCATTAGCTCATTATTGCATCCAGTTGAATACAAGAAGTGCAACTACATTAATCTCTGCTTCCACAGAGATTGAGCTAGCCCTACAAAACACAGTGTAGTATTTCTTGGGTGACTAGAACTCATCTGTAAACAAAACGCCTAAATTAAAACTTTAAAAAGTCACACCAGTTTCAATGACCATTTTTCCCAAATTTAAGAGAATTTACCAGTATTTCCTGAACTGTCAATCAGCACAGCACTATCTCATCACTCTTCACCATCTCATCACTCTTCATACTCTAGATAGCTTCATTGTTTCTTAAGCCACAATGTTAAGAAGCCTCATCTCAATCAGTTCATATCCTTTATGCTTTATAGTACTGGAAGTTAATGCCTTTCTGCTGGTTCTTATTTTCACAGAATGCTAAGTGCAAAAAGAAAAACTCATTTTTCCCTAAGGACAGAGAGATTCAATAACAAAACCAGGACTGAAACTATTTTATGACTCTCAATTCTATGTGTTACTCACCAGCTGCTGCTTCCCAGCTTATCTGCAATGTCAGATAATAAATACATAACTATGTAAAAAGGGTTTTAAACTGAGTTTCCTTACGTAATGCAAAAACACAGCTGCAGTGTTTGTATTTTGATTGTTCTGCAATATTATCTGTGACTGCATGATGCAGACAACAAGAAAGCTATGAACAAAAGCACTAAATAGATGGAAGAAGGAACAGAACAGCAGCTCTCTTGTGCTCACACTCAGCCTCCACTCCACTGTGGACAATTTTCTCCCATCTGAAATCTATCCTGACACACAGCCACAACCTGTGAACAGGCCTCCAGGAACACTACCAAGGAACACAGAATCCTCAGAGCAGGTTGGCATTTCTTTACTTTCAAGACTTTCCCTTCTGCAGTTTTCTGGCCAATTTTTCTGTGATGCTGAGGCAAGACCACGGGGCAGAGTCTGCAAACACCTGCCCTGCTCAGCCCTGCACTGAGGATGTGCCCACCAGCAGCTCCCACCTTCACCGACTCCAGCTCCATCCGCAGGCGGTTGTTCTCTGACAGGAGGTCTCTGTTCCTGGACTCTGTTTGCTGCAGCTGAGTCTCCAGTTCAGCTTCATACTCTCGGCTCCCCTCTTGGAATTCACGCAATTCCTCCTGGGTATTCTCAGCACTAGAGAGAAATTCCAGCAACACAACTGATCACAATGAACAATGGAAAAAAACATCTCATACACTCAAGGTAAAAACAAAACTGCACTTGAACACAGGCTATATGCCCTTCTCCAATATATGTATTCAATAGGAAGAGAGAAACATATGCAAATGTCTCCCGGCCATGCATGGGAAGTCAACCCATAGCAAACTGGTAAAGAAATAAAAAAGTCCAAATAATAAGAAAAACCCCAGAGTCTGTCTTCACACTGTAGATAGAGGTTGAGGATATGTGGCGTCTCTTTATTTTGGCAATTGTCCACTCCCTTGCACATTTATTACATTATTCAATTCTATTATTTACTTGGAAATATAAAGAAAGCTGTTATTGATTAACAACAAAAAGTTAGGAACGGAGAGAAAGATGAAGGGAAATGTTTTATATTCTTGAACAATTCTACTGAAACAATCCTCCAACAAGCTAAACAAGCAGCAATGAGAGAGCTGTGTCTTTGCATGAAGTGTTATGCACCTTATCCAAACACTTGGAGGAATGAAGCCACTGCCTTACCACTGCTTGTATTTCATTGCCAACTCCTTCCAGTATCTGGTTTCCTCTTCCACTGAGCTGAAGTGATGTACTTCTGAGTCTTCCATAATGAGTCCTCAAAGTCTAAAACTCTTGTTTCATTTTCCCCCCTGAAAAATTACAGGGTCAAGCATAAGAACTCAGGCAGTGAGCAGCCTCATCCTCCTTGCTGCAGAGCAGAACACCCCTCCTCCCACACAGTCACTGCTCACCCGGAGACCAAACTAAAGGCCAGCCTTGGTAGGACTCTGTCAGACTGACCATAAATGTGAAAGAATTCCTGCTAAGTCACTCTCCCCAGTTCTCCCAACGCTGCTGCAGGCTTACACCCCATTCCCTGCAAGCAAGCACCTTTGGCACTTCTGAGTACACGAACCCCAAACCTGAGCTGCAGCTGTGCCAGTGCGCAGAGAACACAAGGGAAGGAAGATGAAGGCACAACTTCAGCCCCAAACACACTGTAATTCAACAACCCTAAAGACACCTATCATGAAATTAAAGAGAAACTTCAAAGAGACAGAGATTAGGTACTCAAGATACTGATTTCTTGAGTTAACATTTAAAGGAACACATAAGTTTTTTATGGACTTAACTGCTGCACAGGTGAAAATTTTCTTCCTAGGTCAACAAGACAAAGCTACCCAACTTTAAACCTGAACTATCAAAATCCATGTATAGCCACAAGATACCTGGATACCTCAGAGAGCCATGGGAGAAGGGAGGGTAAAAGCTACCCAGAGGTTTTAGCAGGATACCACAGGCTGGGTTAGGTATGCAGTTAAGATTGCAGCAATCCAGACAATCCAGCTGTCCCTGTGCCAGCCCAAACATGGTCACAGGACACAGTCCCAAATGGGAATGACACACGGAAGAGCCACAGGGGAATCAAGTCCCTTAAGCTGGTCACTCCCACTTGAGGACTTAAGTATCTAAACACCACAATTAAATAAAATAATGCCCTGTGATGTGCATGACACTCTCTGTGAAACGGGTCAGCAACAAATATCATGTCATACTAGTTAGTCTTGACAATGGAAAAACATCAAACCTAGTGTTGTGGGTAACCTGCCCATGTCCAGCCCTGGGTGAGGCAAAGATTCCACTCAGACATTATCAATTTAACCAAACTGATACCAAATAAGATCAAGAACAGCAAATACAGGTGGAATTGGACAATTCATAAGAGTGAAATGAAAAAAAAAAAGAAAACCACATCACAGAAATCTAATGACTGAAGAAACACAGTTCTACCAAATTTCTATTTCAGTTCTGCTGAGCAAAACATTTCCTAGAGGTAATACTGATGGAACAAAGAAGAAGGGATGGCTGAAGCCTTCAAAGATCACTTAGATGTCAGCCCTGTCTTCTACTCTTATTTATGATACTCATAAAATGCTGGAGTAAGACTCTCTGAGCAGATGTCTTAGCTGAAGAAAATGTGCATACACTGCACATCTATTGAACTCTATGGAAGAAAATATCTTTAACCTGTGTCAAGACTTTGCTCTCCAAAAAATTATCTGGTATAAATAGGATTGAGTAACAGCCACCTACTTAGTAACTGTACTGAGACAAACCCAAGTAGTTCTTACCTCTACTACGGACAAAAGTACTCGAAGCAGTCTGGCAGTCTAAAGCCCAATTCTTACATACCCAAGCAATGCCACAAAGCCCAGGTAATTACCAGATTATTGAGCAAGGAGTAAGCAGCGTCACAGCTGAGTGGGGCTGTGCCTGCATACCTCAGTGCACAGTATCAGCTACACACTCACAGAAATTATATGTTATTTAAAAGGGGAGTTGGCAGCCGAGGAGAAAAGTTACTAAGCCTTAGTTTTTATAACTGAGTTTGACACAATGTGTTCATTAGCCAAAGCCACATGTGTTCCCTCAAACAAATAAATGCACTGTGTAATGTATTGACACACTTCCAGCATAAGGTCTCAAGGCCGAAGAATGCACTGGACAAAAAAAGAGGAAAAGGAGTGTGAGCAAAAAGTGATTTCCCAAATAGTACTCTTGCCCATTAAAAAGAAAATCATGACCAAGCATAATTTACATTCTTGACCTAGGATAGTTTATGTCACATCTCCTCTGTTATTTTTAAGTGAACTGAAAGTGCCTTTGATGTTAATAAGCATGTCCTTCTGCTCAAGGCACTGTGTACACACATAATGATCCTTGCAGCACACTCGTGGAGAAAAAAAAATCCAAAAAGGACTTTTTTCTGACACAAGCATTATAATAAATCAAATATCGGTGTTTGGACAGTCAACAAAAATAATTCAGGAAAGATAAAGATAAACTGCAAGACATCTTTGCTCTGAAAAGCTTTCAACAACCCTTTGGAACCAAAAGACAGTTTCAATCAACTTCAAAATCTTGAATATGCTCAGATCTGGCTTCTGTGTTTTCATATTACACTTTGGAAGAACTAAAAGACTATAGTAATTAGAATTTTTTGAGATTGTAGATGTGCACAGAGAAGAACTTTCCTTAACTGATCCATACAATCCATAAGGCTTTCAGAGAACCCAGTGAACATTCATAGCAGCACAAAGGGGCTGCACCCCTCAGTGCCAGGGATGTCTTTGTGAACATGAGATTATGGTATGGGCCCCCTGAGGATGTCATCCATTAAGGGCTCACTCTGCTTCATGGTCACCATTACTAAATAGTATTTATAATTTAAAATTAATTGCTCAACTGCAAATACATGGAAGGACAGTGGACCTGTACTTATTCCAGAGATGTGGCAACTGTCCTGTGCCACAGGCACATGTTTTTTGCTGCAACATTCAACCAAGACCTGTTACTTTCCTTCCCTGCACTACATCTTAGCTCAGATTTTCAAACTAACCAAAGACAAAACATACAAACTTAAACTGAAAAGAAAAACTCCAAGTTTGAGACAAAGTATTAAAGCTTTTTTAAACTTTTTTTTTCTGACATTTGTCTAAGAAGAGTGCAAATAAAAACCACGTAAGTCTTGTTAAACTCCCTGTAGAAAAGGCAGGGCTATGACTGGTTATCCCCTGCTGCCTTCTACCTTTGATTTTTAACAACTTAGAGACAACATGCAAAATGCCTGAAGAGAAATTAATCAGGAACTCCTCATTGTCTGGGCTCACTACAAAAGCAGGGAGAGCAAAGGGGGGATAAAGCAGATTTTAGAAATGTTTTTTTAAACACTGGAAAAGGTGGGGAAAACGAGGAGAGAAAGCCAGAGTCTGTAGCAGGCACACGCTGGCTGTACCTTGCTTGTTTTAGCGCACACGAAGCCAGAAGGGACATCTGGCCAGGCAGCTCAAGCGCTGCTCACACGCATCGCAAACCTCCACATAATGCAGGAAGGGGAAGCGATCATGGGTGGGGACTGGAATTTTGCAATAAAACACGGCAGCATAAATGTTGCGGAAAACAATTTCATACCAGTGAGAGCAGAATTGCAAAATTCCTCAGGAAAAAAGCAAGTATCAAGAAAAACAACACACAAAATTATTGAAGGAACTTCAGTTTGGGAATCAGTCTGAATTCACCCAAACTCATGAGGGCCCCAACCTAGATTGTTTCAGTCCTAGAACAAAGGACTCAAAACGACCCTGATACTGAACTTTTTTCTTCACAAAAGAACATTTAGTTCGGTGAAGAATGTTGGCGTACCTTTGTAGCAATGCTTAATGGCCCAAGTCACAGAAATTTACATTGTAATAAAAAAGTGAAACAGTTCCAGAAATGCTACTGACTTACCCATAACAGAGATAAAACTCCTATTAGACATTATTTTCCTAAATGTAAACCAAAGTAAACCAGCTCTTTGCTCCTAAAAAGTAGCTTTCCCATCCTATGAAATTCAGATTTGCTTAAAATATTCCCCTTGAAAGGGTCTTCCTGTAACACATGGGCCTGTTTTCTTTTGTTTAAGCCATACAAAAGAAAATCACCACAAAAGAGAAAGAAAAGGGAGAGGTCACGGGAGCAGCAGGATTACTACGGAATCCCACAGCCAGCACTGAAAAGAGCCATCGGCTTCTCCGGGGCTTCTCTTCCAAAAGGCTGAAGCAAAATCCTCCTCTCCTCCGTAACCAGTCCAGCTCCCATACTTCCAACTTCCCAGCGCCTCCTGAGGGAACTCCGCGCTGTTCTGCGCTGAAGGGCCTGACCTTGGTGGTTGCAGCAGCTGCGAGCCCGGAGTCAGCGCGGCAGCGCGCCCCGCTCCATCCCTGCGGAGCACCGAGCCGGGCGGGGGCTGCGCCAGCGGGCACGGCTCCCACGCTCCGCTCCCGCCCCACCGGCCCCGCACGAGCAACTCCAGCAAGGGGAGGAGGTTCGGGTCCGCGCGGGGCCGCAGCCGGGCAGGGTCCCGTGTGCCGTGTGCCGTGTCCCCGCTCCGGTGCCGGTGTCCCGTGCCGGGCCGTGCCGGGCCGTGCCGGGCTCTCACCGCGCTCCCGCCGCGCCCGCACGGCCGCTCCCGGCCCGGCCGGCGCCGCCGCCCCATTGGCTGCCGGTCACGTGCGGCGGGGCGCTCGACCAATCAGCGCCGCCGAAACGCGCTTCGGGAACTTTGGTGACTTTCAAAAGCCGCCGGGGGCGGCGGCCGCGGCCGGTGCCGGGCTCGTTCCTGTTCCCGTTCCCGTTCCCAGTCCTATTCCCGTTCTTGGTCCCATTCCCGTTCTTGGTCCCATTCCCGGCTCTCGTCAGCCTTGCAAAACCACCCCCACCCCCCCCCCGACCAACCCGTGTTCAATGACCTACAGTCACACGCACAAGGCTCCGCATCTTCAGAGGTGCTAAGCGTGTAAACCAGCACGCGCTGTAATTTTAAAGGCGTGATTGACCTTAAAATTATCTAAAAGAGGAAAAGCTTTACATTATTTTTTTTTCTCAATTCAAAAGACCTCTGCTGCCAAAGCAAGCAGCGAGAGAGCGCCGGTGTCTATTTTTAACGCCAGCCCAACATCTTTAGACCAAAGTGCCCTTTTTCCCAGCAAGGACAGGTTTCTGTGTCGCAGTCTATGAAATATTAGACACTTCCAGTCATCCCCATCCCAGCATGATGTCACCATTGCAGAAAAGGAGAGGCCTCCGCAGGGTTCCCGCAGCCCGTGAGTTCTCCGCCGTGCCCCGCAGGCAGGATCCATCCATGGGAAGGGACCCGAGCCCTGCAGAGACTTCCCAAGGCTGCCCCAGGTGTGCTCCTACCGACCGACCGTGCACACAGCCCTCGCTGATTAGTGCTGCCTGGCGATGGTTTCCGGAGCCAAAACAAAACCACAAATTATCACACGTGTATCACTGCGGCCGCACAGGCAGGGCCGAGTGTCACCGAGTGTCACCGAGTGTCACCGAGTGCCACCTCACCCCCATCAGCACCGCTGATGGGCACCCACGAGCGGGAGCCCGGCCCCAGCTTTGTCTCCCTCTGATGTAACGCCGGGCCTGGAGCACAGTCTGGGTCTGAAGAGACTTGCCTAAACTGGAAATCCGCCTCTCCCAAAGGCTGTGTAAGGCTGGGACTGTAACTAAGCGTGGATGCTTTTCTATAAATATTGCACTACAAGGAATCTGTCCATAGCTCAGATAACTTTAACAGAAAAGGGTGACAAAAACTATTCTACTTTCTTGTCAGGCATTCAGCAAAATAACTATTTTCAGGTCAGATGTTCAGCAGAAGTAAATGGAGACAAGCTATCATAAAACTATGAAGAGAAAACTACATAAGGCATTTAAAAAATTGGGTTAATAGCATTTGCAGTTCTGTCATTACCCAAGAATGTTTTTATTATCAGATAAGTTGCAGAAAACAAACCACATACTATTGTAGTATGTTGCCAGTAATTAAAACAAATTATACATTGTTCACAAGTTTGGGACAAAGGACATTTTACTTCAACACTTTCAGCAAATTTTTGAGGATAGTATGAAATATTTATAAAACACAGCAAAATTTCTGACTTCAGAGGAAGCTCAGAGCCTCTTGTCCAATTCTGAAACAGTGAAACAGCACCCTAACAAATGCCAGGGGCTCAGAGGCACTACCAGAGGCACTACTGTATACAAGCAATAAATATTCTTTAAAAAGGTTACTGTAATCACTGTGACTGCCTTGTTTGCAAGACAGACACACTTGTCTTTTTCAAAATTAGCAGAGGAGGAGAAATTATTTTATGCATTTATTTTTAGTTTGCTGATTAATAATTAATAACTGGCAGATCTTTGTGGTGCTAAAATTCATGTGCTGGTTATTTTAATAAGGCCACACTGATTCTTCCACAAAAACTAAGTGGACAAAAATGTATCCACTGTAAGTTCTGGTAAGGTTGTAACACCTTATCATTTGTCAATGTTGGGAAAAAATACTTGCCTTTCTTAGAGAATTAAATAACTCACCACACCACCCACTCTATGGATGGAACAGGACCTGCTCACCAGTTGTCATTACCAACTACTGAACTGCTTTTTAATTTTTTTCAAATGGTGTACTGACACCCATGAGTGTGACAAATTATTTAGAATATCATACGGAAATATTGCTATCACTGAAGAGCAGGTATTTAACATCAAGAAAACCTTTTTTCTGTCTCTAAAGATGTTATATAATTCTGTGCAGTCTGTATATGCAGAATCAGATTTGCACATGCTTAAGCAAGAAGCAGATTCTCTCTACTTTAAAAACCTTCTGATATCTCGAACTGACACATTTTTGATGAAACTGTCAAATGCTCATTAATAGCACTGGTTTATTAAGCAGAGCAGAACACAGCAGTTCTCTCAGCCTTGGCACACAGCAGTGACACCCCCAGTGACCCTGGCAATCCTGGCTGTGGCTCTGAGCTTTGCCACCAGCGCTTCTCCTCGCTGCTGGCTGCAGTCTCTTAGGCCAAGGTGCAAGTAAATTCCAGCTCAGCCTAATACCACAATTATGATCAAAAGGTACTGAGGCACCAAAAAGCAGATCCCACCCTGTGCTGTCACTAACCTCCCTCCCTGAGGGGCTCAGCCACCAGCTGAGGAGCAAGCCCAGCCTGGGTGATGTGGACTGGCTGCATAACTTTGGCCCAGCCTTCTGAGAGAGCTGTTAAACTGTGAGCCAGAGCCTTGTCTGTAGGAAGACAAGAACAGGAAAACTAGAATTGGAGGACAGGTTGTTGAGACAAGAACTACTAGCAACACAAGGATGCAAGAGGAAAAATGCCACTTGTAAAGTTATAGAATCCTAAAGAGAGTAAACCACAGTGAGCTCCAGCGAGTTGCCAGTGCCACCACATCAACAGACCAGTGACC